GGGAGAAGAGGGAGAAATGAGGAAAGGGGGGGGCTTAGCAGTGAGAAGACGGACTTTCAGGCAGTTCCTGAGAGACCATCTAACCGGGTCATCTGGACGATTCCTTTTGGATCTAAGCTGTCCCGAAGAGACAGTGATAGATGGAGGGAACTCCAGTGGTCCCAGAGATGTTCGCAAAATCTCTGGGAACCTAAGGAAAGCCCTCCTTGCCAGTGATTTCCGGATCAGCCGATGCTGACTGTAACTGCAAAAGCCCAGAGAGAGAGTGGATATGAACATGTCGTTTGGTGTGAGTTTTAAATCTTTTTTAACCCTGATGATGCTTTTTGAAGATGGAACTCACATGACACCTGAGGGTTTTGCAGATTGGACTCTGGATGGGGTTACCAGGGGGAGGGGGCTGGGTCACATATTGATATCTATGGTTTCGTGCGCTTTTGCCTCAGATCTTGCTTTGCTTAGCTGCTATCTTTTCACAGCCAGTAAAAGTTCTCTTAATTCTGCGGAATGGAGTTAAGTGGTTTCTTTCTCGGTTGCTGAGGGAGGCTGGCTTGACATTGTCAGAATATCAGTTGCTACCCAACGTATTCATTCAGATGGGAGGCGTGCCAGTTCCTTCATGGCCAACGGTGCCGGATGGTGGAGAATCCTCCCGGGCACTCCCAGTCGCCAGGGGTGTCAAGTGGGCGCTGTGCTGGCACCCACATCGTTCCGCATGGTGTTTACCTCCACTTCTTGCCGTGCTTCTCAGGAATCAGCCGCAACTCCAGAGTGGATGAGAAACTCATCAACCTGAGGACGTTCGTGACGATGCAAAAGGATTCCTTCCATCGTGCCTGACTCTGGGGGTTTTTTACGGCCAGCCTCTCCTCGTCTTCCAACATTGCACTGCTCGAGTCCTTCTATGTTCTGGTAGCCCAGGAGACTTCAGACTATCCCGAAAGTGAAGGAAATCTCTACTAGGCAGCTTCCTCTCTGCCAACGATTGTACCCCAAATGCTGCCCCGGAACCAGAGATGCCCGTCAGTACGGACAATTCTCTACAGCTTGTGTCAACTTTGGACTCACCATCAATATTCAAAGACCCTGCGCCAGCCTGCTCCTCCTCGCGCAACGCACCCACAGGACTCACAGCCACAATCCAAGGGCAATTCAGACCCCTCCGGTTCCCTTGGCTACCCCTGTCCCGAGCACTGACCGCTTGGACCGAACTCAGTGGCAGAAGAGGAAAGTTGTGCTTTCCGTGGACGGGGCCCCACAGCCACAAAAGTGAAGGTCTGCAGAGCTGCGGGAGCCCTTTCCTTCCTGTGGGCCCGTGGAAGGCGGACCGTGTAGCAGGCACGCCAGGCAGCTCAGCCCCTTCCACATGGGTGGGCTTGGCAGAGCCCTGGGCATCAGGGGGCAAGACGAACAACCAGAGACGGGAGTTCTTTCAAGAGCATGTCTGCCACAGGTGGCTGAAAAGAGCACAGGCTGTCGGGCAGCTCACTTTTTTGGGGGAAAACATTCACACGGAGGGGAGAAGAAACTCCCCAAGGGCACTTGAAGCCCCCCCTGAAGGGGTTGGGGCACAGGCACCACCACCTGGGAAGCGCTGGCACAGAAGTGCCCTCCCAGAAGGCCTCATCCACAAGGCCTGCCAAGCGTACAAAGGGCACGGAGGAAGCCGAAGGGGGGAGCTGTGTAGAATCGGCAGTGAAACAAATGTGGTGTCTACACATCTTCCCCTTGCCTAGTGTGTGCCAGGGGAAGGGTCTGCTGCCCAGTGCCAGACCACAGTCCATTCGGAACCGTGCCGTGGAAGTGATGGGCGAGAGAACGCGCATTAAGCTGCCTTTGTGAAAGTGGCACCCGTGTAGATAACCATCCCCTCCCCCCCCAGCCACTTCCGCCAGTCTACCAGGCCAGAAATGCTGGGGAACGCTGTGCCAAGACATTCTTGGCAGCCTTGGGAAACCCTCCCCCCCCCGCCCTTGTTTTAACACGTCTAGTAGGGTTGAGCTCTACATCAACAACGATGGACAAGCAGCGAGCACCAGGCAGCGGCTGTGTCACTTTCTCTTCCCTTCGCTATTCCATGAAACACCCAACTCAGTCATGGCTGCCACCTCTTTTCATGCTGTGGAAAGACACTCGTGGGGTGCGTTTTGGGCAACGAATCAGAATATTAATCGTGCCAAGTGTTGCGATGCACTTCGAGGCTGACCCGAAAGGGATTCCTTCCAATTTATTATAAAAAGTAAAGTTCTCCGGGGCTCCCTGGAAGCCGAGGGGCCTGGTTCAAACGCCCACAGTGATGCCGTCCCCGTAAGCTGTAACCCGTTGTCTGCAGTGCCCACAGGGAAGGGGAGCAGCCCCCCCCACTTCCTGAGAGTGCTGAGATTTTTCCTTCCTTCTTCACGCTGAAGATCTGAAGCTGCCCACCCGCTTCCCTTCTCTCTCCTTCCTTCCTTCCTTCCTTCCTTCCTTCCTTCCTTCCTTCCTTCCTTCCTTCCTTCCTTCCTTCCCATGAACATGCACTGTTTCTACCGAGACCGCTCTTCCCTGCCCCAAAGCTTGACTGGAACTGGCCGGGAACGGTGGCCTCTTCTCCCGGCTGAGCCAAAGACCGCCCAGCCCTCCCTCTCCACCCGGCACAAGTGTGGGGGCGGTGGCTGTCCTTCCGGGGCTTTCCAGAAAAAAGCTCAGAGGGAATCCGGCCACACGATGGCCATAGGTAGCAGAGCCGCTCTGGGGCTCCGGCGCGCGTCACCCGCTGTTGGAGGACGTGTGGGGGGCGGTGGAGGGAGACTTCTGCCGCTGCTGCGTGGGGGTCCAGAGAGAGCGCTCCGAGCCGTGAGGGGCGCCGTAGGGCCTTGGGTGGGGCCGGGGCTGGTGCTGCTGCTGCTGCCAGATGGCTTGGCTGACGAGGCCGGGCAGCGCATGCAGGGTGAACCCCAGCGTGTCAATTTTGCCCTCCAGCGCACTGATGCGCTTCTCCAGGTCTTCGTTGCGCTCCTGCAGTTCGGACACTATGTCGTACATGATGCTCTGGGTCTGCGGAAGAGGAGGGGAAAGGACGTTACCTGGGGATGGGTAGACTACCGCTAGACTACCACATTGCTTTCTTTGCGGGGCTCCCCTTACGAGCATACAGAACCTCAGGGGATGATGGGTGGAAGAAGGGCAGGAGCAGCGGCTGCCTTCCTCTCCCGCCAGCCCCCCGTTTCCCCCCCGGGGTCCGTCCAACGCCCCGAATGGAGCCGAAACGCCTTGACGGCCTCCCTGCCCTCCCTTCCCCTACAGGTTTCCTGTAGATTTCACAGCTGGGTAGTTCAACCTGTGAAGTTCAGAGCTGGAAGGGACCTCGGAGGTCTTCTAGTCCAACCCCCCCCCCCCACTCAAGCAGGAGGCCTCCTACCACTCCAGACCGATAGCTGTCCGAGACCCCCTTCAAAGTGATAGAGCCCCCACAACCCCTGGAGGCAACTTCCCTTCCGCTGGTTAATGGTTCCTCAACATGAACCAACTGGAAAGCAATCAAGAAGCCACGAAGCGCCACTGATGGGCTTTTAAGTAAAGGGGTTTTGAAAGAATGGGGCGGAGAACCCTTCGCCGGGAGCGGGCCGGGGGGGGGGGGTGGGGCGAGGGCCCCCAGGGGGGGCAGAAATGACAGAGAAGTGAAGGGAAGCAGAAAGGCAGCTGGGGGTGGGGGAAGGGTCCTCTCCCCCCTGCCCTCCCCAGAGAGAAGAAGAGGGGGGGGGTTCCCAGGGAAGCTTCTGAACCTGAGGGGTGGGTGGGTTTGTCTGCAGGGGAGGGGGAAGCCGCTCCTCCCTCCCCCCCCTGCTTTTCTCCCGATGATGATGAGGAGGAGGAGGAGGAGGAGGAAGAGGAGGCTGAGCCAGGATTTTGCCTTCCAGGCTGAGGAGCGTGAAGCTGGAGCAGAGGAAGCTGAGCGACCAAGCCAACATGCTGGTGGATCTATCCAAGGTTTGTGGGGAAACTGGAAAGGCAGGAGGGGGTTCTGGTGGTGGGGAGGCCTCACCCATCCTCCCATGCCTGAGTCCCTGGGGCGACTCAAGGGGACTTGGGGGCCTGGGGGTGGACTTGGGGGCCCGGGAGAGAGATGGGCTAGGGAACTTTCCCCCCCCCTTGCACAGAGGGACT